AGATAGGTTGAAGGCCCTGTGAGGTGGTCCAGTCAGGTTGAAGGATTATTCATGCATGTTGTTGTCTGTTATGTTATGTGGTGATATTTTAGGGAAGACTCACTAAGTTTTGGGCTTACAATTTTTGGTTATGTTTCAGGTACCTCAGATGATCGCGGAAAGGCGAAGGCTTGATCGTGCACCTCCTCGTATTTTGTGTTATGATTTCTGGGAAAAACTATGATGTGAAACCTATCTTGAAAACAATATGTAATAAATGATGGTTTTTGGACTTATGTAAAAGTTTTAAAATTTTATGAATGTTACAAGTTGGTATCAGAGCCTTGGTTTGAGTGAATTGGAGGAACACTCGTGTGAATCCAGTCTCAAACTAAGGGAAATATTTTCAAAATGGTTTTCAAACGGTTTTCAAAATACTAAAGGAGGATGTGATGTGTACGATCAGCCGGAGCCAGTAAGTAGACCCCAAAATACCATGCTATTATTTGATATTGTTATATGTTAGAACAACATGCTAGTGATAGGTTAGGGATCTTCAGGAATTGCATGATAGAATTGCCTGATTATATGATGTCTGATAGCCTAGGGCCTTTTCTTTTATGAAATTGACATCATTGTTGTAGTTGCTTAATGTATGCATCATGGTTATATATAACTAAGATCTTATAGCCTGAGAATGTTTGGTTTGGCCTTATTTCCTGTTCTTGTTTGATGAAGGGCTTAGGGTAGGATCAGATATTCGAATGTCTATAGGGTCCAGTGTTATGTATGGCTAGCATACACGAGTGTTGTAGGTTTGGTGGAAGTTTTATGGTGAGTCATGAAGGGACAGTCGGCCAGTAGTGAGATGTTAAGCTTTTCGTCTAGGAGTGAGGACTGCGCGTTTATTTATGCTTATGAATAATTTTAGGGTGTTGTGATGATCCTTGAGACAAACACGGGTAGGTGTGGAAGATAGTATGGGCCTGTACTACTGAAAGCACAAGACCCGTATGCGTAGCAAGGAAGTCGCAACCCCTAGGGCTTCATTGGGAGTTGTTTCCCTGTTATTTATGTGGATTATCTGATATCTTCCTGGTGTATTTTCAGTATGGTGACTACGATGCGAGTTGAGATTGGATCCAGGTTGGGATCAGGGACTGACAGTCAGATGAGATCAGATGAGTTGGATGCCAGGATCAGGATGATCCTCCAAGAGGAGGTTGTGGCCATCGTTCGGGATCAGATTTCAGAGATGTTTGGGTCTATCAAGACCACGATAATGGAGTTCTTTGATGATCGCTACGCATCCATTGCTGAGGCGGCTATTGTTGTAGCCTCCGCAGCTGTGGCGGCTGCAGGTGTTGGGACAGGGCGGGCCTGTCAGTATCGAGACTTCGATAATACGAAGCCCCCAACTTTCGATGGAGTCCAGGACCTGATTGTGGCCATGAGGTGGCTATCTGATGTGGAGGGGTGTTTCTTCACGTGTTCATGCCCTCCTGACCAGAAGGTCACGTGCGCTCTAAACCTTCTGAGGTCCGAAGTGAAGGATTGGTGGATACTTGTTATGGGATCGTACTCTGATGAGCAGAGGGTTGCGGTATCTTGGGATCAGTTCAGAGAGATGTTTCGTACACGCTACATTCCTCGGGTCGATTGGGAGAGGTTGGCTCAGGAGTGTTTAGACCTGAGGCAGGGATCGGAGTCGGTGACGGAGATCACCCAGATGTTTACTGAGAGGGAGATGTTTTTCCCTGAGTTTGCTTCAGAGCAGGCTCAGATGGCCCATTATCTGAGCATGCTTAAGACGGACATCAGACAATTTTTTTCTACTCAGCGGTGTGATACCTTGATGTAGTTACAGGAGGCCACCAGGCGGCGTGAGCTTGAGATAGAGGTTCAATTGAGAGGGTAGAGGCAGACCCCGACACAGTCGCAACCGGCGCCGAAGCAGTTCAAGGCCGCCGATTCTAGGTCTGGAGATCAGTGTGGACGCACTTGTGGGAAGCGCGGTAAGGTTCATGTTGGAGCATGTCGATCTAGTAATGGGTGCCACAAATGTGGCAAGGAGGGGCATTATGCGAGGGACTGTCGCCAGTCAGCCCCGGTTCCGAGTATGAGGATTTGCTATCATTGTGATCAGGTTGTCCTTGTGAAGGCCAACTGTTCGTTGCTCACCGCCAAGCCGGCATAGGCTCCCGCACCAGCTACATTGAGGATCACTAACGGGAGTCAGGGCAGGGCGGAGCCCCCGAGGGCTTGAGGTCACGCTTTCCAGCTCACTGCCAAGGAGGCCAGGACAACACCATATGTTGTGACTGGTATGTTTATATCCATTATCTTATTGATTATGTTTGTTTTATGTTCATATGTTTGTACCTTTGTTAGGTACGTTCCTAGTGAACTCCTTGCCTACTTTAGTGTTGTATGATTCGGGCGCGAGTCGGTCTTTTGTTTATCGGTCCTTCACTAGGGAGTTTGTTTTGCCCATGGGGTAATTGGAGTGTCCGTTGCGAGTTTCTATTGCCAACGAACACGGGCTTTTTGCTTCTTTGGTTTATCAGGGTTGCGTTCTAGAGATCTTCGGGGTGTCATTTCTAATCGATTTGATTCCGATTCTTATAGGGGATGTCTGTGTGATCGTGTGTATGGACTGGCTGAGCCGTTTCGGTGTCATGATCGACTGCGAGGGCCAGCGGGTGGTAGTTCGAACCCCAAGTGGGGGAGAACTGGTTATTTATAGAGAGGGCACCAACTTGGGTTCAGGGTTTTGTTCGACAGCCATGGCTCGACAGTATATTCAGCACAGGTGTGCAAGTTATTTGGCTTATATGGTGGATACGCGGGTTGGGAATCAGGTGTCAGTTGTTGATGTTCCGATTGTCAAGGAGTTCGCTGATGTATTCCCGGAGGAGTTCCCCGGTGTGCCTCCTAAGAGGCAGGTCGAGTTCAGGATCGACCTTGTGCCAGGTGCGGCCCCTATTGCCAAGGCGTCGTACCGATTGGCACCGCTTGAGATACATGAGCTGTCATCTCAGCTGCAGGAGCTGTTAGGCAAGCAATTCATTCGTCCGAGCAGTTCTCCGTGGGGAGGGCCGATTCTTTTTGTCAAAAAGAAGGATGGTTCACATCGGATATGCATCGATTATAGGGAGCTGAACAGGTTGACGGTGAAGAACCGTTATCCCCTTCGGCAGATTGATCATCTCTTTGATCAGTTACAGGGAACATCTTAGTTCTCCAATATAGATCTGACTCATCTGAGGTCCGGGTACCATCAAGTCAGGGTGAGGGAAGAGGACATGGAGAAGACCGCGTTCAGGACTCGTTATGGGCATTACGAGTTCGTGGTGATGTCGTTTAGGCTCACCAATGCGTCAGCAGTGTTTATGGATTTGATGAATCTGGTATGCAGGCTGATGCTCGATCGCTCAGTTATTGTGTTCATTGATGATATCCTGATGTATTCCAAGACCAGGGAGCAGTATGAGGAGCATCTACGCGAGCTTTTGGGGGTTTTGAGGCAAGAACGACCTTATGCTAAGTTCTCGAAGTGCGAGTTTTGGTTGCGAGAGGTTCAGTTCCTTGGACACCTCGTTAACCAAGATGGGATTTTGGTCGATCCGGCCAAAATCGAGGCGGTGATGCACTGGGAGGTTCCAAAATCTCCCTCGGATATCATGAGTTTTCTGGGTCTGGCAGGGTACTATCAGTTATTTATTCAGGATTTCTCAAAGATTGCAGTACCCCTCACTATTTATAAGATCATCCACTTTTACAACTTGTTCCTTAGTTTTTAGTAAATTCAATAAAGGAAAGAGAAGGAAAATACTGACAGAAAGAAAAAGAGGGGAAAAAAAATTTCCTTATTCTATGTTCCCGAGTTCAAAGAAAATAAAAAGAAAACATTTAAGTTTCTGTGTTTTCTTCCAGAATCCGTCCAATTTGAAAGGAAAATATGACTCCAAATTTTTTTCCTTCCCCTCACTTTTCTTCCATCAATTAAACTCGGAAACATGATTTTCCTTCGACATCTCTCACATTTTCTTCATATTCATCCTTAAATAGAAGTCGGGAACAAGACGTTAAATATATATATATATATATATATATATATATATATATATATATATATATATATATATATATATATATATATATAAAATGAGGTTTGCTTATGCCTCATGCCTATTGAATGTCTTCTTAAACTAAATAATTAGTCATTGTTATATATATATTTGTTTAATTTTGATGTATTTTTTTCAATTTATAACTAAGAAATTTTTGCATTTATATATTAGAAATTAGATATACAAATAGTCAAAAAAAACAATTATGGGCTCTAGAAAATTTGGACCATAGGCGGTGACTCATGCTGTACAAGTCTAAGGCCGGCCCCGGTGACATCCCCTCCCCTGATCCTGCTCCCCATGTAGCTGTAAAGAACCTTTTCTTCGTTGACTCTATTAAACCACCATTGTTAGGGTTTCTGATTTTATTAGAGAAGAATGGTGGGGTTGAGAAAGTGTGAAAGAATTCAACAGTAGGGACAATTGTAGACTGTGTGGTGGGTGTTTCTTTGGGGTTTACAAAGGGTCGCCGTACATACGACCACTTTTATATGATTAAAATAAAAATAAAAACAAAAACAAAAACTTAAATGAAAATTGAATTAATTATAAATGTAATTAGAAGTCCACGTCACCAATTTTCACACAATGTAATGCCATGTCAATAATTATGGACATTAATAATAGAAACCTTAATTAAATATGTGAAATAATTGAATGGTATAACTCTATAACACAATTTTTTTGACATTTAATTTTAAATACATATATTAACACCTTGATCAATATTCATCTCTTTTTTCTCCTTCTCTCTCCCCCCGAATAATACCTTAAAAATACCCATTATTACCCTATAAATAACGCCTTTAGAACTTCTCTCTCCCATCTATCTCTGTACTCGTTTTCTCATTCATCTCTCTCACTCTCTCTCTCTCTCTCTTTGAGAAAATGGATCTTTATGGCAAGCAATATGCTTACTCAAAGATGGAAATGGAGGATCCAGAAGAGATTAAGAGCAGAAAAGCACAATTCTTGATCTATAAATCATTGGAGAAAGCTGATGATTCGATCCGAAAAAGCAGAAGACCATCATGGTTGAAAGTTCGAATGTTCAGATTGAAGATCAAGTTTGGAAAGAAGATGAAGAAGTTGAAGAAAAGCATATTGGTAGTAAGCAGATTTGGAGCAGCAAGAGTTGGCATTCTTCAACAATGGAAACGCATGTTTACTGTTCGACAAGCAGTGCTCAAGATACCCACCATGATTCAATAACCACTTTTGCTTTTTATATATGCTTCTTCCAAATTTTGGCTTCTTCTTCTTCTTCTTCTTCTTCTTCTTCTTTCTTCTTCTTCTTCTTCTTCTTCTTCTTCTTCTTCTTCTTCTTCTTCTTCTTTATGTTTATTCAAACTTCAGATTCACTCCTTTACTTAAATTCCTATATATATATATATATATATATATATATATATATATATATATATATATATATATATATATATCTACTGTAAAATTTCGATTTGAGGATGTTCATCTAAGAGAAATGATAGAACTCTCAACTTGGTAAAACTTTTGGCGATGGTCTCTATGCATTATTGTTGATTTATGGTTATTATTAGCAGAAAATATGTTTGATTGTATTGCATTTATTGTTGTATATTCTATCCCTTTATTGTAGGGATCTAATTGTAATCTCCCATATATATGCTTGATACAGTGAATGAGAAGGATACCAAAGATTAGTTATAAATAGCAAGAGCCACAAATACAAATTCAGAATTTATGTTATAACTATGCATTTGATGATTCCATAATTATTACAAAAAGAGAATCGATGTTATTTATTTTGCTTCGTAAGAAACAAACAACTACAATGATTTGAATTTCAAGTGTTCCGTTATATGCATTGTAAGCCGTTAAAAAATATGTCAATGTATGCCGTTAAAAAATTATGTCATTATAAAAATCACACTCTCGGCCAAGCAAAAAGACATACGATTTAGTATGACTTTTATTTAATGAATATGATAAGTTTGATGGGTTACAATATTTAGGTTTCTATTTTTTATTAAGTTCTTCTTACACACACAAGGTGGGAAGCATGTCAAAAGTCAACCAAAAAATGAGATATGAAACCGGCAAAATATATAATTGCATATTTCTCTTACATTTACTATGTGAATTTCAGTGGTTTTGATGCTACCTTAGTTGGTTGAGGGCTTATTCAAATACTCTTCAAAGCCAAATTTAGATTTGGAGAGGGGTGCGAGTAAGAGTCTATTAATGTTTATGTGTGGGTCTTGTCTCCTTTTGTATCGTGGTCTTTGGTTTTTATAGGCAAAAAAAGCATAAATATCAAACATAGTAGATTGATGTTAGCTCGTAGCAACTTTGTACAAGAGTCTATTAATGTTTATGTGTGGGTCTTGTCTCCTTTTGTATCGTGGTCTTTGGTTTTTATAGACAAAAAAGCATAAATATGAAACATAGTAGATTGATGTTAGCTCGTAGCCAACTTTGTACTTGTCTGTACTATGACTGCAATTGCATCCGTTTCAAAGTGGAAGATATTTCAAATGGATTTCAAGAATGTCTTTTTGAATGATAACCTCCACGAGGAGGTTTATATGTCCCCCCCCCCCCCCCCCCCCCATGCGTTCAACACCAGCCAAGTGAGGTTTTTCGGCTTCATAAAGCTTTATATAGTTTCAAGCAAGCACCTCGTGCTTGGTTTGAGAAATTCTCCACAGTAATTATCTCTCTCGGATTTGTCCAAAGCAATCATGATTCAGCTTTTTTTTATTAGATGTACAAGCGTAGGACAGATTCTTTGTCCCTATATGTAGATGACATGATTATTACTGGTGATGACCATGGTGACATTAAGTATTTGAAGCATTATTTAGCTCATCGTTTTGCTATGAAGGATTTGAGATTGTTGCGTTATTTCTTGGGTATTGAGGAAGCTCGGTCTAAGAAAGGGTATCTTCTTTCTCAAACTATGTGACATCCCTATTTTACGACCATTTTAAAACTTCTATTTATGCTTATTTAAAATAGAGTTATTTATAAATGCGGAATTCATCCCATAAAATTATTTCAGAAGAAATGTTTTTCATTGGTTATTAAAAACTTTGGGATGTCATTACTGATACAAAACATAAGCATAAATAGGCATTATAGTATCGTAAACTATCAATCTACATCTTCTTGAATCTATCATCATTCATGTACCTTTGTACTGCTACTGGTGATACGAAGAAGTTGAGTGGGTCAGGTTGGGAAACCCGGTGAGTACATAGGGTTTTCAACACATAATAATATATTTAATATGTTTAATTATCAAACAATTAACTCAATTACCCATCCCCGTTTTCTTATTTATTTTTTCCCTAAGGATCTATCCTAAGGTTCATTCTAGCCATCGTTGCTGACAGTATTGTTTCAGGGATTTCTCCGAAATACATGCTAGTGGGTTTCTTTCTATTTTTATTCCTAAGGATCATTTTAATCATCGTTGCTGGCAATGTTGTTATATGGATTTCTCCGCAATACATGTCAGTAGGAAGTAGAGTACATCATATTGACACAAAGTCCATCGCATACAGGTTTATGAACCTGCACGCGTTCCACGGACTATCATCAAATAGTCTGGTGGTCATCATCTATACTCTCTTAGATGACTACATCACTTAGTACAATAGTACTAGTAAGTTAAGGCCTTTTATTATTATTATTTTCATCTCTCATCATCCATCTCCCTCATTATTCTATTCCTCCCTCATTACCATCTCTACCCAATATATTATAGGTACGAAAATACATATACGGTAAATCGTATAAAATCATCTTATAATATTTCATCTAACACACCATAGTTTTGCACATAAGCACATATAGCATTTAATTATCTAAATACTTCATATTTATGTGTAAGATGAAAGTACCTATGCACTCATTTGTTAAAAGTGAATGCCTCGGAATTTGGGCAGAACTTCACCTTGGTACTTTATCTTTTCCTCTGATGTGACCTAGGTTTGCATTACTATGTCTTAATCTTATATTCATGGTGACTAATGATAGTCTAGATTCTTCACTAATCTTAATGTCTACATCAAGATCTATCAAGTAGGGAACAGTTATGTAGGATCATATTGGAGGTAGGGTCAGTTTGCTATACAAAGTATACTGTTTGGAAATCCAACTTTCAACACCTCACTAAATCTAACCAATAAATCATCCCTGTAAGTAGATCAATCAGTATAATGACTAGGAATTACTGATATATCTTAATTATAGGTTCAAAATAATGACTATGACTATAATTTAAAGTTACACTTGAATAAAATAAGTTTAGCTTAACTTACAGAGCTTTTAGCAAAAATCGAGAATTATGTGGGCAGAACTCTGATCTGGGACTTCTATTCACCGGCTATCTAACACCACAGGGATTCGCCGAAGTGGTCGGGAACTAGAGAGTAAAAGGGCTTAAGGGTGGAAAAGTGTTTCAAAGAGAATCTGGAAGAAAGGTGTGAAAGAATAGGAGAATTCGAAGCATTTTACATGCAAATTCAGGATGTGCGTCACACACCTGGTCGGGTGTGTGTCTCGCACTTGGTCGGGGGTGCTGACGTGGCGTCGTCTGGGTGGTGACACAGGTCACGATCTTGTGGTATGTTAGAGGCGTGTGCGCCTACGCACAAATTTTTTTATAAAACTTCAAAAATCCGTATCTTTTACATACGAGCTCCGTTTTCGACACATTTTATATCAACACGTAGCTATTGACGAGATCTACATCTTTCATCTAGGCGGTGTTTGTTTTTCTGCAAAAGCTCTTCTTGACCTCTTATGTCTGCGCCGCACAGACGTTTGGTCTCGCAGACTGTTTGCTTTTTAGAAGACCGCAGACCTAAAAAGGTTTGTGCGTCCTCTTCTTGGCGCAGATATAGAACTATGTCTTGTAACATCTTCTAGCATTTTTTTTACCTCTTCCACAATATGTATTTAACTTTTAAAAAAGAAAATATTTTTTTTTGTAATTATTAGTGTTGTTTTTCATTTTTTATACTTTTTTCCTTCTCCTTTTTTTTATGTATTTATTTGTTACTTTGTTTATTGTTTTTTTATATCATAATTATGTATTAACCAAAATGTTTATCTTTTTGATTATGTATATGTTTTTCTATTCAAATAATATATTTATCCAAATAATTTTGACATAGTTTTATAGATATTTTTATTTTTGTACAATGTAAGTAAATCTAGTAACTTTTTTTTTATATTTTTATATTTAAAAAAACCGGTATATCTAAATCTCAGTTTATTTTAACAACATGCACACGTTAAAAAACAAGCAGTCTTCTTCTTATAGACTACAGACATTTGGTCCACCTCTTCTACTACAGAGGTTTGCAGATATGGTCTGCAGACTGCAGACATTTTGTCTCTGAAAAAACAAACAACACCTTAGACTCCGTCGGCTAATTTTGAATTTATTTTTAAAATTATATTTTTAACATGCTTAGACTGTTAAAGTCTGTTAAAATTTCATAACTCTCTCATACGATATCCATTATCGACTGTCTTTATATCGACGGATAGGTATTGACGAGATCTTCAACTCTCGTTTAGATTGTTTCGGTTAAAAATCAACCGATCTAAAATTTGATTTATGTGCTAACACAACTAAGCTGAAACTTCGAAAAATCATAACTTTCTCTCACAAAGTCAGATTTAGGCGTTCTTTATATGTACGGAATCCTTGTCACATATACTATAACTTTTGTTAAGATTAATTATCATAAATAATCTTCTATCAAAAAGTTATTTTTGTCCTTTATTAAATCTTAATCGTCTAGCCCAGATTTGCGGGGTTATAGACTAAATACATATTTGACTTGTTTACACGGGCGTGCCTATCTGACAATCGGACTGTAGATACTCCTCTTGAAACCAATGCACGATACTATCCTACTGATGGTGTTCCTTTATCTGAATGGAATCTTTACCGAACTATTGTGGGATGTTTAGTTTATCTTACAGTTACTCATCCGGACATTGCTCATGTTGTTCATGTTGCCAGTTAGTTTGTTACTGCTCCTACTTTTATTTATTGGGGAGTTGTACTTTGTATTCTGAGATATCTTCATGACACTCAATTTCAGACCCTCTTGTTTCCCTCGACGTCATCTCTTGAGTTACGTGCCTATTGTCATGCTGATTGGGATGACGATCATCATGATCGTAAATCCACCATCGGATTTTGCGTG